ATGTCAACAATTATCAGGCAGTTGCTAATTGAGGCTGGATCAGAATCAGCGGCCTATCACTGAATATCTCTGTGGGTGACATTTCTGACACCTCCAGAATTGATGGCAACAAGCCCAATGATGCTGAGGAAGCCAGAAAGTTATCCCATTCCCTATGCCCATTTCAAATAACGAGTCTGAAGGACTCAGAACAAGTCTTGATTTCCATCCTGATGAAACCTAATGAAGCACGGAGGAACACAGTTAAGTCACAAGCAGTTGTTTGGTTTTTTTTTTTTTTTGCATTAGTGGCTGGATGCAAGGGGGATCAAAAGTGGTTTTTTCTGTTAGTGGCTTTATGACTGAACAGGATGGTGTTCTGCAGAATTAGACCCATGGATAATGAGGATACAGATAAAGGAAAAAGGAAGAATACTTTTTTCTATGCATTTCCATCAGGACAAAACAAAAACGGTGCTTCCCACCTGCTCTACTAGTGACACAGCCAGGCGTGTGCCGTGCCATCCCTGTTGTCCCCGTTGCCATCCAGTTGCTCTGGTGGCAGAGCTGCCAGCCCTGCAACAGCTGCAGCGTGGGAGGTTGGCTTCATTCAAACCGGCATCTTCTGCAGCTCAGGCGGCAGATCCGGGCGATGCTTCTGAGCTGTGCAAACAATTGACATATGTGCAGTGAGAGCGGTTTGAAAATGTGCATTTGAAAGGTTTTAATTCTTGTGTTTTTTTAGAATAAGCCACTCTGCTCGCGTGCCACGCGGGGAGGTTGCAAACTCCCCAGAACTGCTTCTCCCAGCCCTATATTTCACCTTCCTTTTGATTGTGCTGTCATTTTGAGACTTGAGATAATAGGCCATTATTCTCAGAATTGCTATTATATTGTATTAATAGGATGGGAGGTGGGATTTATTGTCACAAACTGGGTATGATTTGCAATCATTGCGCTCGCAGCTCTCAAAAAGGGCAAATCATTTAGCTGCCTTCTTTGATGGATGCGGGCTCTGATCTGTTCCTCCCTACTTATCCAGGTCTTATCAGCACTTGCAGCCTATGGGATGGGCACTGCTGAAGCTGTTGGCACAACCAGCTTGTCCCCACACAGTGATGGGATGGAGGCAGGTGTTAGGGCTGGTGGCTGGAGCCCAGCAGATCTGAGTTCTCCTCTCACATCTGCACGTGTGGGTGTGTACATGATTATAGAGCCCCAACAAGTCTGTTCCTGTTTGGAAGATCAGTGTCAAAAGTGTGTTTTGTAAGAGCTGGCTCCTGTTTCCACATTACTACCTCAAAGCAGTTAGCTGCCTTTTTTGGGGGGCCTCTGCTTTTCCAAATCAGCTTGCAGCTTTGTCTTGTCCTTTATAAAGGCTGCAGGAGTTGGGAGGATGCAAATCATGTCTGTTTTCACAAGGAACCTCTTGGTGGAGGTGAGTTTATCCCAGTGGGCTGGGCATGGTGTTACAGCATGGACAATGTGACCACGGTGGTAAGAAAAAATAACCCCACTGGGGGATGGGACCAGCTCACTAAAAGACTCCTGGTGCTTACAAGATAGGAGCAAGCAGGGACATGTTTGATCTAGCTCTGTCTCTCCCTTTGTCTCTGTACAAATCTCAGTTCCTCCAACCCTCCTGATGCTTGCAGCAAGGAGTTTGTTTTCTTTTCTCCTGAAGTGCCTGAACACCTGAGGCTGAAAATCCTGTTCTTGCCTCTGCCTCCCCTTGTTCCTGTAGTGCTGTGCTTGCAAACATCTCCGGATGCCTGGGAGCAGCAAGGGACTGGATGTGTTGGCAGGCTGCTGTGCTGCTGGGGACGTTGCACTGAGTCCTGCCACCCCCTAGGGAGAGACCTGCTGGTCTGCCCCAGGTTCTTCTAGGGGGCATTTGTTGGTCCCTAGAAACAAAGTTAGGACTGCTGCAGGGACACCATGCTGAGCATCACCTTCATTCATTGTCCCTGGGGAGTTAGAATTGCTGAAGTTGGAAAAGGCCACTAAGGTCACCCAGTCCAACCATCAACCAACCCCCACCATGCCCCCTGACCACATTCCTCAGTGCCACATCCCCACAGCTCTTGATCGCTTCCAGGGACAGTGATTGTACCACCTCCCTGGGCAGCCTGTGTCACTGCATCACTGCTCTCTGAAGGGGAAAGTTTCTGTAATATCAAACCTGAACCTCCCCTCGCACAATTTGATGCCTTTACCTCTCGTCCTATCGTTGTTACCTGGGAGCTGAGGCCAACCTCTAGCTTGCCACAACCTCTTTTCATGCAGTTGTAGGAAGCAATCAGGTCTCCTCTGAGCCTCCTCTTCTCCATCCTGACCCATCCCAGTTCCCTCAGCTGCTCCCCATCAAACTTGTGCTCTGACCCCTTACAGCTTTGTTGTCCTCCAGACGTGGCCCAGTGCCTCAACGTCTTCTTTGTAGTGAAAAGTACCTCCAGCATCCGTAAATTTGAGCACTGAAAAACATCCCTTGGGGCATTTGAAACGTTACCTTAGAGCTGGAGATGGGGTGAAATTGTCGTGTTTTAAAGTTATGTTTCACATCATGCAGCTGGAGCTGGCTTTGTGAACCTCATGGTGGAGATGGGAATGCTGGGGTGGTAGCCTGCCTCCATCAGCATGAGGAGGTGGAGAGGGGATGGAGAACATGCTTTGCTTTGTCAGTGTGTTAACTATCCCTGTGTTCTTGGGTTGTAACATCTGGGGCGCGGGGAGCAAACAGCAAGAGTGGCCCTCAGGGGAGATGAGACACCTGTGGTGTTCAGTTGCTAGCCACTGCCTGGCTGTTTTCTCTTTCACATATTTCTGCCTGTCAAGCCCAGAAAAAATAGTATTTAATTTGGAGATAGGCTGCACAGGTGGAATAAATATATGCATACCTGTGCCTTTGGTTAGGGTTTAGGTATTTGTCGAGGGGGCAAAAATGCCTCGGTGTTCTTGGATGAGGGTCTTGCATTTTATGCAAAGGAGGAATTTAGCTTCGTAGCTGCCTATTAAAGTTGTGCAGCCATCTTGTTAAACCTGCTCATATCCTGGATAATCTGTTGCAATCCAAGTGTTTCTCAGTCCGAAAGAGGATGCTGAGATCTGGCCTATGGGAACTGGAGCACGGGAGCTGTCTCTTACCCATAGTGGAGGAGCTGGAAGGTGCTTGCCCTGGCACCTCTGCCATCGGTCAGCATTGACAAACTGATATCCTGTGTGGAAGGACACGAAGATCTTTCCGGAAAGAAATGCTCCCAGATATTCTTATTGACAGAGGTGGAAATAGAAATAGGGATTATTGACTCCTTGTTCAATCTGTAACCAGCAGGTTCAACAGCTGAAAGAAATCAATTGGGAAGTCAGTGGGTGCTTCATGGTATTTTAGCACTACGCTTCCAATATTTCCAACCATGCCCTATTAGGACTCATGCTGAAAAATCCCACACCAACATGGCAGTCTGGTGTTTCCAATTGCAGAGCTGTTAATAACTTGCTGAAGATTAGGACAAGGACTTCAAATGTGCAGAGCTGCACTCAGGACTTGGGTTTGCATGTTTGGTTTTTACTACCTACTCCTGCAAGAAGCAGAATGCAGCTATTGAGTGCTGCTATTTGTTAATCCAAGCTCTTTGGAGTAGTTTCTTTTGTTATAAGTCAGTCATTAAGTTAATCCTGTGTAGTTCACTGTCATATCGGGATATATGATTTTACTGTATGTTTATAGAGTAAAACTGTCTTTGGCACTGCTATTTCTGAACACCCCACAGCGAGCAAGAGTCAGATTCGTTTAACTTTTTTCCCCACTTTGTAGGGTTTTTTGAAGTCCAGTTCTTGCACAGCTTCTTTTCCCTGGTTATTAAGGTCCTATCACTTCTGGGGACAGGGTTCAAAAGGTCTTTAGGGAGAACAGGTTTGCATCCTGAACTTGGAAGCAAGTGCTACAGGCCCCAATTTGCAGAAGGAACCACAACTAATTATTTTTGTTGCTTATTTAACTCTTGATGGGTGCCATGAGCCAATTAAAATCACCACTGTTACTTAGAGTGGCATGAAACTTAAATGAGGAAGCAGGAGAAGTGAGTGACAGTGCCTTCTTGTGTAGGAGGTTCTGCTGTTGTGATGGGCAAGAAAATTCAAGTCAACTTGGAAGCTCACTTCTGATAAAAATAAAAAAAGAAGCAGAGATGATGATCACAGGCCTCCATCAGTGGAGATTTAAGATGGTAAATACTGTAAAACCATGTAATAACTCTTACAGCTCATTTGTAATGATACTGGATGGATGAAGCAGGCCATGAAGAGGGAGAGCATCCATGTGTGCGGGACAAAATGCACTAGAAAAATTAGGTTGGGGTTTAAAAATCAGCATCTTTCAAATGACTCTTGAAAAAAATTTCTTTAACTGTGGGGAAATTGGCAAAATGATGTAAAGTCAGCCTGGAAAGCTGCGCAGCACTTGTGGGTTTGAACAGTGAAATTAGAAGTAACGTATATGCTGAGCTATGAGACAGATATTGCCTTAATGAAAGGCATAGCAGTGACACTGCGTGAACTTAATGTTTAGTCAGTGACGTCTGCACTTCACGAGAGCCCATGGGAGGCAATTAGGAGGGCTGCAGAAGGAGGGAATAATTTTACCTGTCAGCTTTGTAAGTGGGCAGCTTTTTGTATGTGCGTGCATATGTACGTGTATTTGTATGTGTATGAAATAACCAGAAAGTAATGAGATGGAGAGGCTCGGTGGGGTCTGTCAAGGCTGTGGTTGGAGGTGGGGAGGCAGCTATTTTCAAACCCACAAGATTTATTTGTGGAACTGATGGAGAGGTGGGGGGGTGAAGGTAGCAGACTTTAGCCTTCAGGGCTTTCATCTGCTTTAAATTCAGGTTGTTGTTTTTTTTTTTAAAATGGTTATTTGTGAGAGTGAGTAGGTAGGTTACCACATATGTCTTACGGATGACTTCATTACATTTGTATTTAAAATTTGTTCTCTGGTTATTATTTCTTTCCATGTTTTTCAGAATGTGACTGAGGAGTGGTAGATGGAGGAGGCTCCGAACTCACTGCATGCAGCTCATGGTCTCAGGTTAATTTAGGTCAGCTGAGATACAACACTGGACAAAGAATGCTGTCGTTCTGTCCGGAGTCAGAATTGTTAAGGTTGGGAGGATCTCTAAGATCACCTGGTCCAACTGTCAACCCATCACTGCTGTTTTTGGAGTGAAGATGAAATGGTGCCAAGCTGGTACCAGCAGCTGTGCACAAATTGTCCTTTATCTGGGAGTGTGCAAACACCAGAACTGCAGTGCAAAACACTCCTGAATTTCAGGTTGGATATTAGGAAAAATGTCTTCTCAGAAAGAATGGTGATGCAGTGGCACAGGCTGCTCAGGGAAGTGGTGGAGTCACCATCCCCGGAGGTGTTCCAGAACCATGGGGATGTGGCACTGAGGGATGTGGTTAAGGGATATGGTGAGGGTGGAGTGGGCTTGGGTTTTTGATGATCTTAGAGGTCTTTTCCAACCTTTATCATTCTGTGATTTTCAGGTTTGGCTGAAGTCTGATGTAGACCTCGTGGTCATTCTGGTCTTCAGCTAGCACTGAGCCCCTGATCCTTTGCCTCCACTGATTTTGGGAGATATGGATCTGCGCTACTTCTCCTCCAGGGCAATGAGGGAGAGCAAGAGAACACTGAAATGCCAACTCCTAAACAAACATCTCTGGACCTTGGCTCTGTTGCTCTGAAGCAGAGATGGATCCAGGTGTCTGGTTCTGTCACCCATCAAGGTACCTGCTCTGCCAGAAGTCTTTGGCCCATATCTGTGGGGAAAATGAATACACAGCACAACAGCTGGGAGCCCATCTTAAAGCAGTGCTGTGAGCTAAAACACTGCACAGGCAGTTATCTTTGGTGGAATATGAATGAACCAGAGCTCAAAATCTTGGCTTGAACCAAGGGCAGAGGTAGAAGATGCCTCATTTAGCCTGAGGAATGCTTCTGACAGACACATTGCTGCCACATGGCTTGGCTGGGAAAAGAAGCTGTACCTCTCTAGTGAATGGAAAGATTTCACCGAAATCCTGCTGTAGGAACACCAGGTTGTCTCTTGATTGCTTGTAGTCCAGCAATGAGAAAGAAACTCACAGCTCATTCAAACTTGCTAATGGAAAAAATCACACTTAACTCTATCTTGTGGTCTTGTGTGAGTCACAGCAACGTTTGGTGCTTATCCTTGAGTGGAAAGGTTCTGGAGGGGAGGAGCTGTGGTGTTATTTTTCCAGAGAGCTGATTTTTTAGCTCTGCCCAATTTGGGAAGTGGGGCTATCACTGTCTTGCTGTTATCACCCTTTCAGCAAGGCAGATAGCAGCCAGCACATTACTCACCATTACCCCATAGCTATCTGTTTTCTGATTATGTGTTACAAGAAGTGGCAGCCAAAGCTGCAAAGCCTCTTCAGCACTGGCTGAAGCCACCTCCTATGGGCTGTGATGCTCTTGTCCTCGTCACCTGCCCTGGAGGCTGTGAGCCTTGGTGACTCTGCTCTGTTGGCACTCCATTAGCCACTTCTCCTGGGGGTTAATGTGTGGGGAGGCTATAAGCTGTGCTGCAAATAAGTTCTCTGACTTACCAAAACTGCAATAATGAGGGAACTTCTTTATAGTTAGAAAAAAAGCAGCTCTCAACCTGTTGCTTCCTTCTTCCTGACAGCTGGCTCTGAGGCACCATGAAGGTATTTAACCTCTTACTGCCACTTTGAAGCTCTGCATAGGGTTTCAGTGGCTGCACAGGAAATTCTTACAGCTGCAAAACAGCACTAAGATGGGGCCATTCAGTACAGAGAAGCCACCGACTTCTCGTTGCATGATGCAGTGTGGAGTGCAGACCAGCTTGCCTTGCGCTCATCTGGGTTTGCTTTGCTGTGTGCTCATGTGTGTTAGAGTTGTGGGTCTGCAAGAGCAGCTAATGTTCCTGTTTTTTGGAAGCATTTGCTCTTTTGGTGCTGGATTGAACCTAAGATCGTGCTCTTAACGTGTTCTGTCAGGATAAAAATGAAAGTTTCTGGAAGATAGGCTAGGAGCTTTCTCTGTAGTTCTGCAGAATGCACAGAACTCCTAGCAGAGGTAAGCTTCACTGGGGTGATGGGAGAAGATGGGGTGAGAAAGCACCTGTCGTTTCCCCTAGGCATGATAGAGAGGTTTTAGGATTGCACAGGACTGTCCTGGGCCATGTTGCTGGGCTTGTTGGGAATGTGATGAATGCAAAAAACACATCCTGCAGAGAAGCTCTTAGATTTTCTTTTTTAAATAAAAAATAGGATTCCTGCTTTAACCTGCAAAGACATGGAGGTGAGAAAGCTTGAAGAGCTATTAATGCCACCAGGTTGGTTTGGTAGGAGCGGAAGCAGAAGGTCACATTTGTTCAATGTGGTGCTTGGCAAAGTGCTTTGTGTGATCACCTTTGAGTCTGTCCCAGTGCTAAATGTCCCCTTCTGGGACAGTTTGTGTGTATGTGTATAGAGGAGAATGGGGACAGAAGGGAAGCGGTGTTCGTTCATAGCTGTCAAGGAGGATGGAAGATTGACAATTCTTGTCTCACAAAAGGGTAAGTGATGCTGAACTCTCCTTAGACCGATTCCAGTTGAACACAAAGCATTTTAACCTCTTAATCCTCACTTCTGAATTATAGCTCAGACATTCAGGGCTTTGTGGCTTTTTGGAGCTTCTCGCCTGTGTGTGACCCTGGTCCCAGGCAAATAGTAGGGCAGCCTGACCATCGCTCAGTGCATGCTGAGTGCTGAGCAGAAGTGCTCATCCTGTGATCTCCTGGCTTGTTTGCCTCCCTGTCTGACTCTGAGGGGAATTCATGGGAATCCTCACTGGGAAAGAAGCAAACCTGAAGTGACTGTAGATGTAAAATGTCATTTCCCACTATGATTTGAGGAATCTGAACCTGATTTTTATCTCGCCCTTCTAAGGAGACCTCCTCATCAAATGCTGAAAAGCTCCTCCATGTTTCCCTGTGTGCAGACCTCAATGACTGCATATCAATAGAGGTGACACATACGAATGCACTATTTCCCTTTTGGCCTTATTTGCATTATTTTTGGTTTTCATGTTTGGGCTCTGGCATAAAACCCAGCAGAGAGCCTCTCATTTAGTCAAGGCCATTTCAGCATTCATTGCAGATGAGCATGGTGCTCCAGGGAGCCAGTTGTATACTGGGCTTTGCCAGTGATTCATTTCTGGACGCTGCCTGAGTGATTCCCTCTGGGCCTCAGTTTCCTGTTCTGTAGAATGGAGATAATACCCGTTTATGGCCCAGGGCTGCTTTGAAGCCTTTACAAAGTTAGCGAGTGTGTGTTTGGATGAAAGTTGTTTTTTTTTTTTTTTTTTTTTTGAAAAGCAGATTCAAAACAAGAAGTGCAGCTTTCATTCAGGAGCTTGTATGAAATGACCAGGACTGCAGAATTCCTGCCCGGGATGAATGTGCCTGTGCTGAGCACTGAAACAAACATCATGTAACTCTTCTAAAAGCACCCACTGTTGTTGCTCATGGCAGGGTTGGCTGCTATTCATTCTTTTTTTGTTTATTTTATGTAAATCCTTTTTCCTTCTCATTGAAAACACAAACAAAAAAAAAAAAGGGAGGGGGGAAAGACAAAAAATAGAGAATTTTGTTCTGTAAGCCCCATAAAATCGATTCATCGCGACGAAGGTTTTAATGGTGCCAACCCTCTGCTTGTGTCTAAAAGAAATTCCCCTCTTTCTCCCAACTGTCACATGATGGGGGAAGACGTGGAAGCAGAAATGAAAGAGGTGCAGACTTGTCCCTTTGCTTTTCTCACCCAGTTCCCTTTATGTGTGCTCTCCCACCCCCTCCACCTCCCTCCCTCCCTCCTGCTCTGCCTCAGTTCCCATTGAAATGTCAAATGCAGCAGTTGTCTGCGAGTGAAAGAGGGGTTCCCTGGTGGGAACGGGCTGCCCTTCTAACCTGGAGGCCTCGGCTCTTCTCTTCTCCCTTTTTGGTGTTTCCCATCCCACTTTCTCAGCAGATGTTGTGTGGCTATAAAGGAATGAGTTTCTTTTCACCTGGCCATGTGAATGGGCTGGCACAGAAACACGCGCTCATTCTCTCAGGCTCTGGCAACAGCTTACACAGAAAGAGATTTGTTTCTAAGAGCCGTCTTTTTTTATTCTTTCTTCCCTTTTTTCTTCCCCCCCTTTTTTTTTTTTGTTTTTAAGAAGGAGATAGGGAGGAAAAAAAGGCGGAGAGAGAAACTGGCTGTATTTTAAGCTTCCTCCTTGGGTGCCAAAGGAGCCCTTGGAGTTTTGTTTCCACCACTTTTGTTCCTTTTATAGCTGGGATTCAAGCCGCAGGCTTTCAGCTCCCCTTTGTCTTAGCCCTGCTTTTCCCAAGCAGTTGACATGAGAATTGTACGGCAGGATGGAGGTTCAGCCAGGAGCACAGCCTCTGCTTTAGTCTGGGGCTGAAGTGTTCAACTCTCTCAGCGGCTGACTTGTGCAAGTTAGCGAGTGTGTGACATTTCATGTGCTTTCTGCAGGAAAAAGATTTACTTTCAAAAGAGTTCTGCCCAAAAATATGTGGCAGCGTGGTGCAAAAATGCTCAAACTATCTTTGTGGTGGTGTTTTCTTTTTTTGTCGCTCTGCTAGTTGAGATAGCAGAAGCAAATTTCAAGTCAGTGAAACAGAGGTTGGGGAGGTTTTCATGCTTTTTCCTTTCTTTCTCCCATTTCTGCCTTCCTGGTGTTGCTAGGTGCCCTCTGCTCTTTATCACTGCACTGTGAATTTAGGCTTGGTCAACCGAAGAGCAGCAGAGAGGTACCGAGGAGAGATGCTCTCCTCCCAGTGCTGTTGGCTTCGTGCAGCCTGTGTTTGGCCAGGTCTCTTTTCAGAACCCATTCATCATATTGAGGCTTGGTGGATATTCAGGAGCAAATGACAGTACCTGAGATCAGGAATCATTTGATCTCATCCCACCCTGGTGAGACAAATGCACATGCTGAGCCTGAAAAATGGACTTGTCGTTTACTGATTTAATGAGTAAATAATGAACCATTCTGAAAATACTGCTGGGATATTATGCCAGTGCTTCTCTCTGAGTATTTACACACACTTTAACTCCAGTTGTTTTTTGCTGTGTGTGTGGTTTTTGAAAAATTTGAAGTTTATTTTTACAGTGGTGCTTGGAAGGCAGTAAATAATCCGCAAGGAATTAACAGACAAAAGTCTCTGGCTCTGCTCCACCCTACTGAAGGCAAAGGCAGAACTCCCATTTACTTCAGTGGAAGTAAGAAGTAGGGCCTGTGAGTGTAAAAGATCAATTACTTTTATGATCAGGATATCTTTGCAAGTGTTGGTCTTTGTCCTTTATCTGACTGAGGTCATAAATGAATCACGAGCATCTTCTGAGGTGAAATACAGACCTGTGAAAACAAAACATCCACATCTGAAAGTTTTTGGTAGGTTTTTTGATAATATTTTGGAAAGCTGAGCTCGGTGTGTTTGAGATGTTGAACTGACTCTCCATCCATCCATCACGTAGTCAGCATTTCACTTCTCCCATTTGTACGAAGTGCCATTTTTGGAGATGTGGGACTAGGAGAGTCTCAAGTTGAACCTCCTGCCTGGAGAAATGAGCACAAGACACATCCTTGACAAAAGCAAATGGGGAGGAGGTGGCTCATGCCTGCACGCATGGTGCTTGTGGTTAGGAGTTTACAGAAGCATTTTTCTTTGCCTGTTCTGGTGCAGCCAGTGATGTTATTCTTGTAAGAAATAGGATGATATAACTAACTCAAAGGTATAGTTCTTATTTACTTCTGTCAGTGGGCTCTAAATGACCTCATGAAGGAAGCAAATACCACTGTCTTGAGTTTCAGATGGGAACCTGAGGCTCTACTGCATGGCCAAATACGTAAGGACAGGGTTCAGCCTTTATCTAAGTCCTCTCCAGCATCTTATCCTCTGCCTTTTAAAAGCTTTATCCCTAAAATGTGTCTTGAGCAAAGGACTCTGTATTGTAGTTTTCCTATTGATTCCTTTCCTGGAGTTTATGCCTTTTGGAGGAGATGGGGCATTGCTAATTGCTTCAGCTGTTCTTGACTGTTACAGGGCACTTGAGCAGAACTGTGCGGCCTGAGCGTTTGTACTTTGTAAAATAACCCTTCAGCCCCGCAGAATGGAAGGATTAGCAAGTTTAGCCTCCTTGATTCATCTTGAATTATTCTCTACACCATCTTCGTCTGTGGTGCAGCGTAGCTGAAAGTAAGGCAGGGCTGCCACTAGATTAGCTCAAGATGAGTGCCACAGAAATAAAGTGCTATTGTCGCTCTTCAAGCAGTGACACTGACCGAAATAAAGGACATCTGGGTAGGAAACAACCGCCTGCTATCCATGGTGTACCCCAGCTTGCCATGAATGCTGGCTGTGCTAGGCAACCAGCAAAGGGAGCTGCAGGCAGCTGTAAGCCAGGCCAAAAAGGGAGAGAAAGAAAAGACCAACCCTGAGAAAGAGGGGTGCGTTCTTCCTTGCCATGCTCTGAGCTGGAAGTCTTTTTATTCTCATCTTTTGTTGCGTTTTTCCCCTTCCTTTTCATGCCCCAGCAGTGGGTCTGGGTGCAGGGGAGCATTGGGTGGTCACGTCCTACCCCTCCTGTGGGTCGTGGGGGCTGTGGTTTGGGGATTCTGTACAGCTGTGTGAGTGGGGTCAGGTTGCAGTGCTGTTTGTGACCCATGGAAGGAAGGGAGGGTGACACCCATGGCTCCCTGAAGGATGTGGGTCTGACTCTGGGTGTTGCCAGAGCTATAGATTCACCTATGGGTAAGCAGCTAGCCACAGAGTACAAGCCTTTTTGAGGCAGCTGGTGGTTGATGTGGACTATTCAATGCTTAGTCTCCAACCAATTTTTCCGGTCTGATGCTTTGAAGAAGGCAGTGGTGGGCAGAAAGATGCCAAACGGCTTGCCCAAGGTTTGAGGAGAAGCCTGTGGCAGAGGGGATGGATGGACAGTGGGACTGTAGCATTGGCCCTGAGGCTGTGACAAAGTGGGAGTGGGAAGTGAGAGCAGGGATGCTCTCCCTTTGGTGATGATCTCACCTCTCAAATGTATTTTTATGCTGTTTCTTTTTTCTCTGTTTCCCTTTGCCCCCTGAAGAGCTGCTGCCCTGTTAGAAAGGTTTTGTCTCCCTGCTTCCTTTATCATAATGTGTGAATTTGCAGGCAGTTAGTTCCCAAAATACGTATCAAAACTCTCAATTTGAATAATCATTGTTTCTCTCAGATGCCTTCCATCTTTAAGCACTGGAGCAGTGCTATCCCACAGAGATTGGGGTGCTGGCAGCACCCCAGGGCCCTCCTGTCCTTTGGCACAGGTTGAGGTTGAATGTGGGGAGGGCTGCCAGCAGGGCCAGCTGTAGCTAAAGAAGCAGCCTCCAGAGGGAGAGAAGGCTTTCTCTCTCTCTCTCTCAGGCTTTTACAACCAATGCTCAAAGTGAAATGCATTTAGAGAAGAAAAGGCTGGGCTTTCTGGCTGTACAAGACCCAGCCCTGCAAATCTGCTCAGTAGCTTCACTGCCTTTGATGCTTCTTTGGTTTGATCTTTCCCTTTGCTCCTGCTGATGGCTGGGGACTATAGAGCTGTGCCTGGGATGAGGAATCTCACCTAAATGGATGCAGGTCTGAGGATCTTTTTTGGTCAGAGATGCATCATCCCCATGTGCAATAGGACAAACATACAACAGAAAACAAATGGAGAACTCTTTACTTCCAACAAGGAGCTGGCTCGTTAAAGACAATGAGAGGTTTGCAGCACCAGCCCTAGCAACAGCACTGAAAGTTATCCCAAACATGTAAATGAAGCGAGCTCCAGCGATGGGAAGCCAAGCCACCATGAACCCACTGCATCATGCTGTTAATACAAAGAGGGGCCTCAATTAATTAAACTCTTACAGGGTGACGCAAAAGCATCAGAAGAAATTTGCGGTGCACGTAAAGACAAAGCGTGTTGCACCATACCTAATTGCCAGAATAATTATTTTCTGCTATGCAAATTATCATGAACAAATTCACTGCAGCTCATTTGCGTGTATTTAATTATCATCAAGAGCTGGGGTTGAGGGACTAGATTTAATATGTTTGTAATGAAATAGCAAGAACTGTGTGTGTGTGTTTGCAGAGAACTCGTTATTTTACCACAGCTGGATTTGTTTATTTTAAATAAATCGTTATGGCAGATACAGTTTTGCATGTTTGCTCATTTGCCGATTTATCATAAAAACTGTGGTTTCAGTTATATGGGTGGTTTCTATCAAACACATATGATCCCTCTTGCTTGCAAGCGCCATGTTTCTGTTTTAAGGAGGAGCTCAGCTCAAAAAGAAGATGAGTTTGCATGCAAATCAAGAGTGGAGAAGTGGGAAGAATTGGGACAGTCGTCATTGAGAAGAAAGCCCAGATGTGTGTAGGTTTTGTGCTGGACTTTGGGTCTTTGTGCTTTCAGGATGAGAGTTTTAATTCCAGCCTCTCCCATTTGTACACCAAAAAGGCTCTTGTTTGTGTTTTTGTGTTGGCATGTGCAATGATTCTATGATCATAACAAAAAGAAATAGAAGTGGATGTGGGATGCAAGGTACCACTTCTGACATTTATGTGGGTCTTTCTCTCTTTAGATGCAGGTTTTCTGGTATAGTGCTGAACTGAAGATACTGAGATATCAATTAAACCCTCAAGTTACAAGAAAATATTAAATTTGGGAAGAAAATGCCACTTAAAAATCATAATTGTTTGCTTCCCTTGGTTTAGAAGCAGTACCCTGGATGCAGTTGGCTTCCACCCGATGCCCAACCATTTCATGTGGTTAAAGCTCCAAAAAGAAGCAGAGAGGTTCCCAAACTGCCCAGATCACAGCATGCTCCAGAGATGCCAGGTAACTTAATGCAAGTAGCAATACCAGCCATAACCACAAAACAGCAGGTATAAGCACTTGGTTTCCTCTTGTGGATTTGAATAGGAGATGTAAGCATAACAAAGAAGGGGTAAGGAAAGGACACACAGATATCGGTGGAGGACAGGCCAGCTTCTGGTGACATCACCTGGGCCCCCAGGGTGCCCACAGAACCATTATGTGCTGTGTCTCTATGCTGGTTTGCATATAATTGATGGTTCCTCTGAGGTTGTGCCTCCCCATCCTCTGTGGGACGCCCTCCTCTATGTTAGTTTATTTTTTAAATAATTAACAGACTTTGTGACTGCCTGTCTATGCGTCCCCTTGGAATTCCTCTCCAGCTGTTCTCATCCATCCCCACAGCTCCTCCCTCTCCTCTGCAGTGTTCTTTTCCTCTCACTGCATCTTAAAGCATTGCCTTTTGTTTTGACTTCGCTGTGCAACACAATCTCTGGGCACTTCTTTTGAACAGGATTCCCTATCGCTGTTTGCTGGTGGCTGTAATTCTCTTCTTCCTAGCAGCTGCCATTCCTAGCAAAGATTTTGGTCTGAATAATTCTTGTGGGTGGGTGTATCATGTTAGAGACTTCAGCTGTTGTTGGTAGTGAGGACAAGAGTCTGCTCCCACTCTCCCTATGCATCCACCTTGCTATGGTGTGAGCAAAAGAGAAGCCTTAGCACTTCTTTTTGCCACTGGGAAAATCAGCTATGGGATGTGCTGGCTTCCCTTCTGCTGCCATGTTGGCTTCTTCCCAGAGCCAAGTCCTACTAGCAGTAGAACTTTTTTGTGCTCTATATAAATGCTCAGTTGGAAATGGTAATTTGTGCAAAATCCCTGACTCCTGGGGAAATGCTAATTCCTTGGTCTAGATTTGGGAGTGTGAAATGCTAGGACTGTGCTTGTTTGGTTGAATGGGGCCCTGAGCAACCTCATCTGGTGTCCATTTGAGTGGTTGGCAATCCTGCCCGTTTGGCAGGGGTGTTGGAACTGGATGATCTCTGAGATTCATTCCAACCCAAGCCATTCCATGATTGTTTCATCTGGACCTCCTCTCATTGTCAATGAAAGATTTAATCTGTTTGTTTCTCTTTCACCCATTTGAGGACCATCTACCTATTCTAAAAACTTTATAAATGACCTTGCTTCCCATCTTTACTTGCCTTGGCTTGCTGCTCTCCAGTCTCAAGTCTTAATTGACACACAGCTTGTGGCATAGCTCGAGGCAATGCCAATAATGCACATATTCATGGCATGGCAGGCCCCCTCCCTCAGCTACCATCGCTCAAAGCATACATCAGACAAGCTGCTGGCTTTGATGTGGCTCCTGGGTTTCCTCAAAAGAGCAATATTTGGAATCCCATTGGCACTGTTCCTTGTGCCAGACGTTGCAGCAATATATATCATAGAATGGCTTAGGTTGGAGGGGATCCTTAAAGATCATCTAGTTTCAACCTGCCTGCCATGGGCAGGGTTGCCAACCACTAGATCAGGGTAGAAATGGCCCAGCACCCATTGGGAGGAATATTTTGCAGTTCTTCAGCAGATAGGACTCTGTTGGAATAATCAAGAGCATTGTGGGCTTTGCAGTGATGGGTGCTATGGAAATGATAATGATTAGGGCTGGGGATAGTGATGGGGGCCATCTGAGGCACCTGTCAGAGGATGTTAGCCCTGCAATTAGGAGGAGGGAAGGGAAGTCACAGCAAGAGTGATGCTGTGGCGGGGAGGGCTTTTGTGTCAGCACGCAAAGCTTTTATTCTCTGCAGGGCTGCTGGGATTTGCTCTGGTCTCCTCCCAGACAAATTAACTGAGAACAACACCTGCTCCTTTAATATTGACCAGGCTAATGATAGGCTAACTGCTGCAGACCTGCACTTTCCTTCTCTCTTTTTAATGACGCATATGCGGGCTGTGAGCTCCCTTCTCTCTCCCTCTTGCCCCCCAGCCCACTTTTTCCCATGGTGGGTGAGATCCTCACCCCAAAACCAGCACTGGAGATCAGAACAGTTGAAAAACTTAGAACAATCCCTCCCTCCCCCCACCCCAAAAAAGAAAAAAACACACACACATACACAAAAAAAAACCCACCATGAAAAAAAAAACCCAAGCTGGCAAGAGGTGAAGGGTATGTAATTGCTATTCCTTCTGCAGCCTGCTAAAGCTGCATGTTTTAACCATCTGAGGACAGCAGGGAATTTTCCCTTCCAACAGAGTCAAATGTGGAGGTTTCATTTTATTTCTTTTCAGGAGGGGTGTGGGGAGAAAGAAGTGGACTTGGTTTTCATTGGGATTAACTAAAGCTCCTTCCACTTTTATGTTGGCAACATGAGGTTTCATCAGACCTCTGATCCTGCACTGAATAAAAATATAGCATTACCGTCAAACTGTAAAACGGAGGGCTTGAACTTAACTGGATTAAAGTGCTTTTGAGACAGCATTCTTTGTTTAATGGAGCGATGGTGTGGGGCTGCCATGCCTGAGCATCCTGCATCCCTGCTGGAGCATCCAGGGGGTCCTGTTCTCTGCTGCTGGCTGGGCAGCCTCCTGCTGAATTTTCTTATGGAATATTTGTCTTGATGCTCCAGTGCTCCCTCGCTGCAATTCTCTGGATTTCTTCTTGACAAGGCACCGCTGACAACAGGCTCGCTAATCAGTAGGGTGCACCTCATCTTCATGGAGATGTATGCACATGCTTTAATTGCAAATAAATGCACTGAGCCATATTTGTGTATCATTTAGAGCTTGCCTTTCCCATATGAATAAACACATCCTTGGCTGCTTGTCCTCATCCTCCACGCATGCTGCTAGTGCTTTCACAGCCTGTTTGCCACCGTTGGCTCTTTGCTTGCTGCTCGGATGCTTTCCTTGCCAGGTTTTGCAAGGTTCCCCCCCTTACCTGGGAAGGAAGCATGTTCTACCTGACATTAGCTAATGGCCCAGTGTAGCAAGGGTTTAATGCTATGTTTTACAATGGAGCCCAAGACTTAGAACCCATTTGTGCCACGTCGTGTGCTGTGCCTCTGTCTCGACGAGCGCTTGGAAGTATCCCCATACGTCCAGTAATGAGCATGGGCTAATTGCCTAGGCAGATAGAAAAATAGATAGGTAATTTGTAGCTATTTAATTTTACATTAGGCAGAGGGATGTTAGGGGCAGAGGCTAATGTTGTTGGCATTTCTTTTCAGGGTTGTTAACCAGATATGCTGCCTCTGGGGCATAACAATACCTCCCTCGGTAGTGCTCTCTAATACTTTTATTACGTTCTTATTAATTTAGTGATGGCCTAAAGTCTGTGAGGCACCTTCCAAGGCATGATCCCTGCCCTGAGGACCTTACGGACTAATTCCAAGGCATGATACAACTGGGGATTACTCAGTGAGGGCAAGGGCCTAATGGGGTATGAAATGGCTTCTATTAGATAAATGGATAAGAGTGAATCAGTGGAAGAGTTAATCACATGGCTCTGTGTAGGTACGTGGGGTAAGTATCACCTTGGGGCAGCAATGTGGCTGAGGTCACTCCAAGCAGGGAGTATGGATGGAGGCTATCCAACACCTCCCACCTTGCTGGAGCAAAAGCAGAGCATGTTGGGTATATTTCAGAATGAAATCCCAGAATGGTGCCTTTTTGCCTCGGGTTTCAGCTCGCTGCAAGCCATGAATTGAAGGTCCCAAAGAGAGGAGAGGCCCTGAGAGGAGCGGGGGCTGCATGAGGGCTTTGCTCAAGGGTGGCCTCAGCACCTGTCCTCCTCGTTTGAAGCCTGGAAGCTGCCCAGCACGGGACAGATGGGGCTGCTGGGCAGTGACAGCTGGGGGGGCAGAGGGCAGGAGGGATGAAAGCGAGCTGGGCAGCCCTCCCCTCGCTGCAGGGGAACATTTGGTGTCCATGTGGCATCTGGCAGCAGTGCTCGCTTCTCTGGCATTTCCTCTGGTGAAAGGAAGAGCAGAGCAATTTGCTCCCAGGAGGCTACTTTGCTCAGCTACAAGGCAGCAGCCGGGTCCTGCCCCAGCTTGGCTTGGTGCTGCAGCACAGATCCCAAATCGCCCCCTTACCAGGAACCCCCACTCAGGTACATGTTCTCTGCCCTAATTTATTCCCTTTATTATTATTATTATTATTATTTTGTTTTGTTTTGTTTTCTTTTTTCAAACTGCCAAGAAGCAAACAATTGCATCGCTTACTTTAACAACGAGTTGCTCCAGCAACTGGACATTGGGTTTAGCGTGGCTGGCTGCATCTTCTTGACATCATTGTTTGATTTTTCAGTTGCTGGAGCAACAGATTGCTGGGAAGG